TCAATAGAAAATTTCTCTCTCACTCTTGCCCCGCACAACTACTAACTGCTCTTGGTTTCTTAGGAGAACTGCCAGATTCCCAAAAAAGGTCCACCATCGCCCATCACCCTACAATATATCTCCATTGTATTTCCCTAACATTCTTTAATCTCCAGTTCTTCCCGCGCGATGCTTAAATTCGACTAAAGTTATTAACATATGGTAATTATTTGATGACTGTCTTCCCCTCTACCATATCCCCACACTCTCCCCCACCAGACTGGCCTTGTCTTGAGGTTAGAACAGTGTCTGTGTCACCCTCCACTGTACCCTCTTGCCTTTGGCACACTTTCACATAGTAAGCGCTCAAGGCATGGGCTTAACTAGCTAATAAATGAGTACACTGAGTCAATCCCCACAACAACCTTGTGAGGCATTTCATCAGACTCGGGGAGCTGAGAGTCGGGGGTGGGCGAGAGGCTAGCCCCGAGGTCCAGGTCAAGGCGGATTCAGGCCCTGACCCTAGTCAGGTCCTCACCCAAGTCAGGTCCTAAATCTCAGACCGCATTTTTCTGTTCCTGAACTTTGGCCCCTTGGTGAAAGGGCCAGGGAGTGGGTGGACTTTGAGCCAGCAGGTTTTCCGGGCCGCACACGGGTCATCCACACCGGCCTCGGGCACAGCAGCTCACCCACGGAGACTACGGTACGCCCCCTCTGCTCTCACGAGCAAGATCACAATCTGCTGCATATGCATGAAGGTACCAAGCCCGAGATTCGGGACTGTCCAATTTGCGCCTGACTAAAAAGTCTTCGAACTTGAAGAGTTTAGGGCCCCCAGAGTTCCTCACAAACCCTTAGAAAGTCTCCAATGTTATCTTATGCCTATCCTGAGAGACTCTCTGGCAAAGGTGACCGCCCTTAGGGTCGCGGGATCAGGCATCTGTGATAGATAGCCCGATCCTGGAAGGGGTCCTTGGCCGGCACGACTTGAAGACGAAGGGGGCGTCTCCCCGGCTTCCTGCGGCGTTGGTGTTGAGCTGAGGTGGAGACGGGCTGCGGCAGCAACGGCGACAGTGGCGGCGGCGCCATGGCAGGGCTCGCAGGTACTGTGGCGTCGGCCTCTCGGGGGCGGGATAAGAGGCCCTTCATGCGGCCGCGCCGCCATGTTGTCCCTCCGGGGTCACCTTAGGAGTCTCTCCGGCCCTCACTGGGGCTTTTCTTCCGCACATTCTGGGGCCACCCCTGCCTGGAGTCACGTGATTGTCCTGCTTAGCCCCGGCCTAGGCCCAGTTCGGGGAGGGACCCTTCCCGGCTTGGGGGTGGGTCGCTGGACTCCTGGGTTCTCTCTCTGGCCTCCAAGGTCAGTGCTCGCCCGTCGACCCCCGGGGTAGGGCGGGCAGAGCCGGGAGCGCGGGGGCTGAGGCGCGACCACCCGCTCTTGGGTCCCAGGGCTCATGGCAGCGGGCCCAGCTTCTGAGAGGCATGCCACTTTGGCCCTGCCACTTCAGTAGCTTTTTTTTTTTTTCCTTTCCCCAATCAGAAGGGACTTGGGGGAGAGGGGAGGGAGGGATCTCCAGCTGCGGGCCCTCGCTTTGGTGTCTGGGGCGACAGGTTGACGCTCGGCTTTGAATCGCGAATGCTTCTTACTCTCCCTCAACTTTACACGAAGGCTAGACACCCGTTCCCTTTCTTGTAATATATATATGGGGAGTGGCCCTCAAGGGCAGCTGAAGGAACGGAATGCCTGGCACACTAATGACCTGGAAAGAAGAATGGGTGCTGAAAGACAATTGCTTTTTCTTTCCCCCCTCCAAACCTTTAATTTCCTTTCAGGCCTACGTGTCTATTTTCAACGTTAAATGTTGGGACAGGCTGGGGTCTGCCCGAGGAAAGAAATGGTCTTTCTATTTATAGGTTCGGATCGTGTTTTATTCCTTTCAGGGAACTGGTGTGTTGGGGACAGCTTCTGTCTGCCCTGCCTGACATGGCCCAACCATCCCCTCAGCCTTCTGGAGGGCAACGTCAAAGCCAGGACCAAAAAAAAAAAAAAAAAAAAAAGTTCCAGTCTAAATGCTACTACCAAGTGTTAGATTTTGTGTGTTTTAAATCAAAGACTAATTAATGTGAAACAAACCTGTTAAAATATTTCAAAGTCTGGTCAGTTTCCAGTGACCAAACCAAATCCATATCTGAAATTGGTATGTTAGAATTACTGCCAAAACCAGTTTAACCTTTTGTCTGTAATGTTGTTTCAAAGAGGAATCTGAAAGTCTGGATTTGGCTGTCTTTTGTTGTTGTTGTTGTTGTTGTTCTCCTCTTATCTTTGAAACATATGCATTCCATTTCAAGCCTGTCACTGTGTGATATACCAAGGACCATGTGTTGCCTGCCTCTCTGACTTCCTGTTCTGGGAATGCTCAGGAATCTGCATCCTGCTGGGGTATGAGCTCTGTGGGAGGGTAGGGATGGGAAGGTGAAGAGGATCATTCCCAGAGACTATGGTGACATGTCTCTGGGGTATATAGAGGAAGTCAGAGTTCACCAGGGGTAAAAAAAGACTGTTGTTAGACTAATGTTTTGTGTATGTGTGTGCGCTTGTGCACGTTTAAATGTCATGGGGAAGAACTAACTATAAATTCAGAATCTCACTTTATGGTGCAGTTTGAAAATAGCTATCTAGCAAGTGGCTCACAGCAAACCTGCTCTCTCATCTACCCACGTGTAATAAACTATTGTCCTGCAGCTAAAGCTCATGAAACTTGTCTCCCCAAACATACCCTCTTCTTCAGTCACAATCCAAATGCTCCAACAGTAGATCTAGCAGTATTACCTTGCATCCCAGACCTCTGAAAGTCATGGTTTCTAAACCCTCCTGGGGTTTAACTTCAACTAGTTAGCCTAAGAAACTAACACCTTTCTTGGGGCATCAGTCCCAAGAGGCTCACCTATTACTAGAGTCCCACAGTTGGAGTCCCATTCCAATCCCCTCACAATTCATCTGTATCCTTGACCTTGTTGGTGGTGGGGGAGGTTCCTTGAGGGGGTGGTAGCGGTGGTTTAAGGGAAAGGGACATTTACCCAATGGACTAAAAGATTTATAATAAAATCTAGTCATTTCAGCTCATCCCACTGCTGTCAGAATAAAACATTTTAATGGTAGCACTTCTGGAAAATTTTTTATAAACAAGATGTGTTTGGGCCAGATTTCTAGGCTTCACACAGGAATAGAGTGAATGAGTTCCTTTTGCATTTTCTGGTAGGTAGTGTTTACTGTCAGAACATGAGGATTTGGGGATGGGAGATAAAAGGGGGGAATAGACATTCTATACTCAAGCCCATCCATATGTGTATAGGCCCCCAGGATAGCCCTTGCCTGGAAGTCTGCCATCCCCTCATGCCACATTTAGAGACCTGCTGGTAGATGGAAGAAGTCCCACAATTGGGCTTTGCTAAAATCATCTGGAAGACTTTGGGGCTGCCAATAGTCTCCTGCCTTTAAAATGGCACAGGAGGCTAAGGGGGTGCTGCTGCATACAGAGCAGCCCCACCCTTTTTGGTGCTGCAGCCTCTCTCCCTGAACTCAGCTACCTTATAACTAGACTAACATTAGTGGGGCTATGGGCACACCCCTCATAGGCTCTGAGGCGAGGGGCAGCCTTCATTGAGAACACATGTTGAAATATGTTCATGGTTCTGTGAGTTTGTTGTAGAATACCAGAAACTCCTGGTCATGTGGCCTGCCAAGATATTGACTTCAGAAGGGAGGAGGTGTGGACATTGCCTGCTGATGAGTCACCCAGGCAAGCGGAGGCCTGCCTCACCTTCAGGCTATGGTAGAAGCTGTAGCCACCCAGCCTAAGGGAGTTGGGAGTCTCAGACTGCATGTTCCCACCCCAGTCCTGATTGAGCTCTGATTGCCAATTTGATGACAATATTTCTAGTATGTTGGGCTTATTGGAATCTTACTGAAGGTGAGGGGAAAGAGATAACTAGGTTCCCTGAGTCAATTGATGACAAACCTAATACCAAAAGCAAGGTCTCCCTCTCCAGCTCTGTAATTCCCTAATGCTGAAGTTAGAGATGTCTCTAGAAGGGCTGTTGGTTGGGTTGCATTAGGGGAGGGGAACATGATCAGGCTCAAGGGGCCAGGTGCTTTGTGCTCCAGAAGTGTTTGTGACAGCTGTGACTAAGGGATTTGAGGAAGTGACAGATTCATGGCCCAACTCCCTTCCTTGGTATTGACCCAAGAACAGGTGTGTAATAACAAGGACATGTAGAGTCAGAGACATGGCTAAACAGGCGGCAGGGCCATTTGTTGAAGTAGTCAGCTGATCCCATGTAAAAAGGAGCTCTAAGGAATGAGAAGGGAGAGAAGTCGGAGTGGAGCAGCCAACCCACCCTGATGGCAGGGGAGAGCACAGGGACCTGGTAAGCACCCCTAATAGGAGGCTACTGTTGGGAGAAGCAAGGAACCCAGTAGTGGGGATACTGATCTGGGAAGAGGTTCCTGGTAGTGGAGGTGGGGAGACCCAGGAGAGTAGCAAGGCCGAGGTCATGGGGCATGGAAGGACAAGGATGGGAGAGGCAGCACAGCACACCTCTTACCCCATACTCATTTTCTAAACCAGTGCCCTCTCTCCTCAGGGCTCATTTGGGGGGAAGGGTCTTAGATTGAAACCTGGAGTAATAAGGCTTTGTCCTCTTTTAAGTCCTGTTCACCCCCTTATATATCAAAGCCCCTGATTCTAGGATAAGTGAAGGCACCCACCATGGTGGGGGGGAGGTAGTGGTCTGTTATTCCAAGATTACCTTTCTTTTTGGGTGAGGGAAAGTCGTCCTTTATCTCAGAACAGTGTTAATTTGAACTATAAATAGAACTGGTTGTGTGAGAGTCCCGGTGGTTTATTCCCACTTTGTTGCCTCCCCTGCTTTCCCTCCTCCCAAGCCACGTACCCACTCCACAGTGGGCAAATCAGTCTAGTCTTACATGTGAAGTTGAGAAATAAGTCACAAGAGACAACTTTTTGGTGCGCCTCCTCCACCCCGCAGGGTCCTGGGACACTGTGAGATGGGGAGGTACTGATTTTTATTTTTTGTAGAGGTGGTCCCTGTCCTCCAGGAGCTTACAGTCTAGCTGGGGAGACACAACTAATGCACACTTATACAGTTAGTACAGTTAGCAATTACCACAATATTGACCACAACTGCGTGAGACCAGGGAAAAGCAAGATCAGTGAGGGTCTGGGGGCTCAGAGAAGGTGTTTTAGTAAAGGTGGGGTTAGTTTACTGGTTAAATAGTTCCAAATCAAGTGACATTTCTTTAGGGTGGGGTGAGCTGGGGAGGCAGTGATGGGGGGAAGAGGACTCGGGGGAAAGGGGAATAGAGGAAGCAAAGGCAGCAAGGCTGGAATGAATGTGCCGCAGGCAAGGGTCAATAAGAGGGCCCCAGTATTTCTTAACCCTCCTCCTCCCTCACCGGAGCCCTCCAGTCCCGCCACACAGGCACGCAGTTGGTGCCTTTTCTGCTGCATCGAGATTCAGGGCTTCAGCTGGTGATGTTGGAATGTCCATTCTGCTGGCTGGTGTGGTTGTCTGGATCTCCGTGGTGGGGGCCTGTTGGCATGGCCGACGCTTCGGGGCTGGGATGTTGCTGTCCCGACTTGGTCCAGATCAGAACGTGATGCCTGTGCCCAGATCTCGAGGTCTGCTCCCCCTATACCCCCTCCTCCCTCAATCCCAACCCGCAGTGGGACCGGTGCAAAGGGGTAAGGGCTCTTATATTGTCGTCATTATCGGTGCTGCTTCTCCGGGCGCTTACTGGCCCCTCACTGACCTTGCCAAGTGCTCCTCTGTCGAGAGAGCACAGGGGACCCCCCATTCCTGCGCGGCACTGGCTCCCATGCTGGTCGAGATGCACAGGAGCACCTGGTGACATGGCCGCCCAGGGCTGGGGGCTGGGGCCTCAGTTGGGGGCTCGCTGCCGGCGCTCTCCCAACACCTGCCGCCCGGTCCTCGACACCGTGTACGCCAGCTTCTGCAGGGAGTACCTGAACACCTGCAGTGAGAGACCCAGGACCTGCCTTAAAGGGGTGCACAGCACCTAACGTTTCTGCAGTCGCCATGCCCGCCCCCTGCCCCACCCCCTTGCCCTACCCGCCTGTCGGACTAGGCAGAGAGGCGGGCCGGGCGCAGCTTGTCCACGAGTCAGGGCAGCTGGAGCTTTTCCAGCTGTGCTGAGGGCTGCATGGCGGCAAGCTGATTGGACCCATAACTTAGGTTATACCTCACTTCTCGCAATGTGCTGTGTCCCTCGAGTATTTCGAAAAGCGAATCCTACCCAGTAAATGCAGCATTCCAGGAACACCTTAAAGGAAATAGGCGATTTCTTTGGCAAAGGGAAATCTTTAGCAGAGAGTTCTTCCCACAAAGGGTGGTTTTAGGGTAAATGATTTTATGGGCAAAGCGCTTTCTTCTGATTTACTTCTTTTTATGCGGCGCACTTGGCCTTTTTTTTTTTTTTTTTAAATAGAGAATTGTCCTTTTTTGGAAGCGCTTTTTTCTTACCATTTTCCTGCAAAGAACCCTTTCCTCTAATTGTTTTCTTCAAAGCGCTTTTGTCCGATTCATTTTTGTTAGCTCCTTTGTCTAATTTTTTTCTGCAATGCGCTTTGTAGCTGGTGCATTTTTTTCTGCCAAGTGCTTTTGTCCGACTTATTTTTCCTGCAATGCGCATTTTCTTTATTTTTCCTAACGAATTACTTTTTTCCCCCTAATTCTCGATGTGGGTTGTTTTTTTGTGTTTTATTGTTGTTGGTTTTTTTTTTTTTTTTTTTTGGTTTTGTTTTGTTTTTGCGAAGTGCTCCCCCCCCAATCTACCTTTTTCTAACTTATTTTTGCCCCATCCCTGCAAGCGCTATGTATTTTTAAAGAACATTTCCCCGCAATGCGCACTTTATGGTGGAAAATTTTCGCTAAGTGTGCTGTAATGGCTTTTTCGTAAATCAGAGTGCCCCGCCTCCCTCCTGAGGCCGAATCTGGGTATATTGGTTTTTCTTACCACGTTGTTCGCTAAGAGCCTCGGTGATCGTCCGCGGCTGGCGCCCGCCGCACCCCAACTCTTTGTTCCCAGTCGGGCGCGAGCGCACTGAAAGGGTCTGCGCGAGCAGGGGGGCGCAGGGAACAGGCGGGGGCGCACGGTGCCGGCCGCGGCACTCGGGCAGGCAGGGATCGCGGCAGGCAGAACGGGACGGGTACGGAAGGCGGCAAATGCGACGCGGACTTGCCGGTTTCGGGTGCGCATCGGAACCCTCTGCCTCCCAGAACCCCTCTGCCTCCCGGAACCCAGGCACACTTACCTGCAGCAGCACGCGGAAGATGTACCAGCCGATAATGAGCAGTTCAGCCGAGGCTGCCGCCACTGCCGCCATGGTTCCGAGTGCGAGGTCGGTGCTGGAGCGCGAGGCCGCGGGTTCGCCGAGGGCCGCTGGTCCCAGAGTCCGCTGTAGGGCGCACTGCTGCAGCCGCCGCGGCCGCGCCTTAAGTAGTCGGCGGCTGCCGGACTGCGCCTGCGCGCTCGGAGAGGGGGGTTCGCGGGGAGGGGTGGTTCGCGGGGAGGGGTGGTTGGGGGCGCTCCTCATTCGCCAGGAGAGGGAAAAATAATCCTCCTGCTCTTTCCACACCGACCCCCGCCTCTTGAGTTCCATTTTAGCCCCTTTCGAGAAGATTCCGCCGTGCCCGCTTTTGAATTTTTGTGTGACATCCAGGGAACTGAAACCGAGTAGCGTATGGGGTAAGCGGGTGCACGCCTCTGGTGCCGAACCCCCTCATCTCCGTGCCCTAGACTGCAAGTCTTAGTCGTGTCAGGTGCCGGCACCAGAACCCACCTTGAGCATTAATGGGAAATCTAATTTAAAAAGGAATAATCTGCCCCACAGAGCAAAAGAAAGGTGCCCCTTCCAAGAGCTCGCCTTGCCTCGCACAGTTTTTCCAATATCTGATGTATTGTCAGTCCTGTGCGTTGCTTCACGAGAATCTCTGAGCGTGTAACCTATCCCTGACGAGTTGCATCCTGCTTCTTGCCGTTACTAGATCTGGATCTACGTGGTGGTGACTAGGGAACCGAGCCAGGTCATTGAGCTCTAGGTGCAGAAGGGTTATTTACGGAGTGCCTACACTGTAGGAGGGATTTTGGAGGGATTGGCGCTTTTGTATGGGAAGACGACGGGCTTGAGCTCTCCCGAAAAGTGGTCAGAATGCACTTGGGATAGTTTTCTATTCGACAGCTCATATCAGCCTGTCTTCTCCCTTCCCCGCAGGCGCTGGTAGGTATTCAGCAGTCTGCAAGGTTCTTTGTACGTGTTGCGCTAGGAGGCTGGAGCACTGAACCAGGCTTCTTTCTGCTCCCGCCGCCAGAGGGTTGTGGCTCCCTTTCCAAGCAAGGCGGGAAGAACGGAACACGGACTACAAGAGCGGCCCCAGTGCACCGGTGGCCCGCCGCTGGGGAGCACCTCTCTCCAGCAAGCTGCGTGGCACAGGGGCCAACTGGCGTTTGCCCCTATAGAAAATTAATTTTGATTAAAAGCTCGTAGAGGTCAGATTCTATACAGCGCCAGCCGCAGATGGAGAGTATAAATGATCCAAGAGAGGTGGCTTGGACGAAGTAGCATGGTGATTTTTTTGTGTTGACTTTTGAATAAATTAGCCAGTTTTGGCGAAATGATATCCCAGGATATTTGAAAAAGAAACGCTCAGCCTAGGCTGCCATCTTAAAACAAAATGTTTGGTGGTGGTGCTACTGTGACTTCCTGGAGTTTGGGAGGCCCCATTGCCTGTGACCTCCTGCTAGCAGTGTGCTGTTAACTGCTTTAAATCTCCATTGAGCACCTGCTAAGAAAGATACTATAGAATCCTGTCTTTGCTTTTGGGGGGCACAGCAGGAGGCCATCAGGTAGTAACCACAGGGCGGTATTGTGAGGTCTGGGCCCCTTGAGGACGGGCCGCAGCCCCAGGAGGCGATACATGATCTCTGCTGGGCAGGGCCCAGGCTAAGCCAGTCCACTGTGCCGGACCTGCGGAAGAGCCCTCTCCTGGAGCTCCCTGGAAAGCCCAGGGGAGACACCCCAGGAGGCTCCCTAAATGGGTGACTTGGAGAGGAGTCGACTTCCATGGGTGGGCAGGGAGGAATGGGCATTCACATTTGCTGTTGTTAACCATGATCCATTTTCCCAAATAAGTATACATTCTGTTCCTGTTTTTTTTTTTTTTTTTTTTTGTCTGTCTGTCTGTCTGTTTTTTGTCTGTTTGTCTATTGTGTTGACTTTTCTCTTCAGGATCCCTGCTGCCTTGGTGATCCCGGGCTGACAGCCAGAGAGCACAGCGGCTCAGCTCCTGGAGAGTGAGGGTTGAAGAAAGCGGAGGGCAGCCGCCCGCGTCCGCTGGCTCCCGTTAGGTCGGTTCCTGCAGCGGTGCCCGGCGGCCTTGGCGAAGGCCCTGCCCAGCAGAGATCATGTATTGCCTCCAGTGGCTGCTGCCCGTCCTCCTCATCCCCAAGCCCCTCAACCCCGCCCTGTGGTTCAGCCACTCCATGTTCATGGGCTTCTACCTGCTGAGCTTCCTCCTGGAGCGGAAGCCTTGCACAATTTGTGCCTTGGTTTTCCTGGCAGCCCTGTTCCTCATCTGCTATAGCTGCTGGGGAAACTGTTTCCTGTACCATTGCTCTGATTCCCCGCTTCCGGAATCGGCGCATGACCCTGGTGTTGTGGGCACCTAACAGCCCAGCTAACTTTCCAAGGAAGCAGAAGACGGGAGGGGAGGCATTGACATAGGTCATAAAGCATTGGAGTTTCAAATCCCGCAGCCCTGCGGGTGCCACATTCCTGACGGCGCCTTTTTGGCCTGTAATGTTTTATCCTTATAATGTGAATAATGGCACTGACCGGTGCTTTTATTGTAGAGTCCTATAGTCGTGGGTGGTCTTGTGGTTATGTGTGTTCTGTCCCCATCTTGGGTCCTAGCTGGCAGGATGGCCAAATCCTCGCCTCACCCTGCGAGGACTCTGCGCCCATCCTGGTCAACCACCCTGGCATGACCTGGACAGATAAAATGCCAGTCTCGTGTCACCTCTGTGACCCCTCCTTGTCAGGGTCTCCTCCCCTCCCAGAGTGTTACTGACTCCTTTGCCCCTTTCCTGGTTTCCCTTTAGTTCTCTTCTACCCTTTCCTTTTTGGGGGAGCACCTGTCCAAGACAGGGCTCATTTTTGCACTTATCTCGAATTTAAAGAGATTGCTGACGCCCGAGAGCCTCGCTTTTTCATCCTCCTTTCCCTGTTCAGCAGGCTAGACGAAACATGTCTTGACTGTTTGTTGTCCATAAATCTCCAGTATTTTCTCCACTTCATTTTAAAGAAAGAAGTGACAGATACATGTTGCTCTTTCACCTGAGTGTCTGGGCTCATGCTTACAACCCAGCCTCACTTCCTTTGCCCTTCCTCCTGCCTTTCTCAGCTGTCTCCAGGAGGGGGGTGGGGGGGCTCATTGTGTCTCCCGTGCATGCTCTGCAGGATTGAGGTGTGGTGTGTTCATGTAGACCTAGCAGTCCCCAGCTGAGTGAATGGAAGAGTGCATGTGTGTTTCATAACAACCATGATCACTTTGATAGGTGTTTGGATATAACCTGGTGTGTGTGTGTGTGTGTGTGCACGCGCGGGTGTGCATGTGGTGTGTGGGTGTGTGTACACAAATACAAGTGTATGTACCTTTTAAAGAAGCTTTATCAAATGTGTTCTGATTTTGAGGTTTAGCAATAGCTATAGTAGGTGCCGCTACAGTTTTTATTTAGCATGGGGATTACAGAGTGACCAGCACACTGGACTCCGAGGTGGTTCAGACAAGACAGAGGGGAACAGTGGCCGTCATCCTCGTGCCAGGAGATTCTTCAGTCCTGCATAAACAGACTATATGTTTTGAAGAATACACAGGAAGACTTTGTGACTGTCACTTGCTATTTTTTTTTCCTGCGCTTCAGTAACAAGTGTTGGCAAATGAGACTCTCCTGGCCCGTGCCCTCTGGGGATCAGCATGATTGTCCTTCCAGTCTCAACTCTCCATCTTTCTCTGGCCTGACCTGGGGAGGGAGATAGGCCAGTCAGAGGACAGAACTGGAGGCAGTCCATGTAGGGAATGGGACCTTGAGGCCACACTTGTGGAACATTTGGACTGCTATTCTGGAGCTTTTATTTCTGGTGTATTCGTTGCACAGCTGTTTGAAATGTTTAATAAAGCTTTATAAACTTTACTTTGTGATTTTATGTGGCTGCAGCCCATTTGTGTTGTGGTATTGGATTTCTAAGTTGGTGGGGGGCAAGGGGTAGCATGGATGGACTGAGTCCTTGGCGCCAGGGTACCTTAGCCCGAAAATTTGATCTGCTCTCTGGAGAGCAGATGGTGGGGTTGGAGGAGGGGGAGAGCAGGGGGCAGGCCAGGCAGTGAGCGGGAGGGAGTCTGAAAGTTTTCAGAGATGAGACATTTGCTTTTCTCAGCTCCCATGGCTTCTCGCCTGAAACTTCCCTCCATAGGAGATTTGAGTAACTGATCCCTTGACAAACAACTTAAGACAGCTGGAGCTCTAATCATCAAGGATTTTTATGGTGCTGCTTTTGAAGTAAAAATAAAGTGAAACCCCTTATGGTATTTCAAGTGGAAAAATAAATAAGGCTAGCCCTCCAATCAGGGGGCTTACTGTGATGGCTAGACGTGCCAGAGCTGTGCAGTTCCGGGTCGTCGATGCACACGTGCTCCTATGGCTGTGACCTCTGAGACAAAGGGGGGGTATCTTGTCAGGGCCTGTGCTGGTGTCCACCTTGAACTCTTAAAAAGATAATAGCACTGCCTATCCAAGGCACAGGGCTGTGATGAAGGTCTACTGAGATACCAGTTGTGAGAGGGCTTTGGTAATTTCACAGGTCACCTGTTTTACTTAAAATTTTAATTTATGGTTGTAAAGGGTTATTTTGTTTTCTTTAGCCCCTTTAAATCTCCCTATCATCAGTTGGTCCCCCTTTTCATACCTAGTGTGGCTTATCATTGCTTTGTCCTTAATCAAAATTTGCCAAAGATTTATCCATTTTAAAGGTATTTTCAAAGAGTCAATTACATCTGCTGAGTATTTTTCCGGATTCTGTCGTGTTTTTATATCTCAATTCTTTTCTGGGTTTTCTGGATCTATTTCGTGGTTCAGCAAAGCTTTGATAAGCTGAGGAGTTGTACACATGGAAAGGAGGGTTTGTTTAGCAAACTCTGAGCCCCTGCCCTAGGCTTGCTGGGGATTTCAGGGGCAAGACCCAGGCCTGACTCCAGGAGCGCATGATTCTGGCCTAGTGGGAAGACTTAAGAAAATAGACCATTGCAAATTCCAAAAGCAAAACAAACAAACAGAAAAGGCTTTCGAGGCCCCTCTCTCCCGTGGAGGCACCTGGATGATAGATGAAGCCAAGATGATTGCTTATTTTGCTCTCC